AGTGAACCCTCCGGTGCAAGAATTAGAAGAGCAGAGTATGAAAAAACTGTATATCGAGAGATCAAGAGAGAGAGACCAACTTAACCTTCTTTTTTCTCCTCTTATCCTTGCTTATATCCTTTTGTCATCATTTTTCCTGTCTCTTGTGACGTGCTTTTTTCGCCGAAAGCCTGTGCCATAGCTCATCTTGTTTAGGGTGATGGAGGCTCTGTTCCGGCGGGGAGTGCTGTTGTAATAAATGCTGTGATGGGTTGCATTAATGGTGATGTGTTGTGATAATAACTCTGCAGATCTTTGTCTGCTGATGTTGCCCGTGTCCCACCTGCCGTGTGCCTAAATGCCGTTGGCCCTTCATGTCTAGGTGGCCTCCAGCTGTTCTGGGCCTTGTCAACCGGGTTGTGCCATTGGCCCCAAGCAATGGGTTCGGGGTGGTTTACCGTGGGCCGTGTGCCTTGTGGGCCTATCCATGTCAAGTTATAACCGACATCATTCATAACAACAAGAGTAATGCTAAAGGCTCCAAAAGTTTTATCAAAATTTTTATCAAATGTCTCACATAGGTGTGGGACCCACACCATGTCAGTCCTATGTGGATCTCAAATCCATGTGAGACATTTGGTAAAAATTTACGGTTGTAATTAAGGCATATAATGCACCCTTTCTAAGGGTTGTGTACCATAAAATTTCCCTGTAATAAGGGTATTTAGCCTTTGAATAATGCTACATGCACCAATTAGTGTGCTAACTAGTGTATCAACACTAATTATGACATTATTAATGACCCCCACTTATTGTACAAATTACAAATATAAAAAACATCTTAAATTATGTCACATCATCAATTGATACACTAGTTAGTATATTAATTGATACATATAACATTAGTCTTAACCTTTTTACTTAAACTGTTAATGGATTTAACAATGTATTTTTAATTCATAAACCAGAGAGAGCTACGTGCTTATTTTTAAAATCACATACAGTTTATGTACCCATGAGCCAAACTAAAAAGTAAAAATAAAATTTACCCATTCAAATTTGTGAAGAAAATAATAAAAAATTAGAAGTTTTTCTCATAAATCTTATTTTATTGTATTCTATTGGGTATTATGACTTTTTTCCGAATCAATAAAATCCCATCATATAGACTGTATGAAAGGCTCATTTTTTTTCTTCAATTTTTTAGCAAAATTTTAGACATTTTTACCCATATTCACGCGGAAGCACAAATCAAGAAAATTGGTGAAGATACGTGTATGGAAATTATTATTTTTTCATATTTCAAACTTTAAAATTTTATAACTTTTAATATACACATTTGTTTTTGATAAAATCTATATTTTTATAAATTACTTGATGATGTCTACCAAACATGATTTCAATTGAATATAAAATTATATAAAATAATGTATATATTTATATATGTCACACTTTTTTGAATTTGAAAATATGAAAAATTTCACTTTTGAGTGTCACATATTTTAAAATACTTTTAAAATTTCATATAGTTTCTGAACTGAAAAGTTCAAAAAATTCAATTTCTAATATAGTTTGAAATTTCACATATTGTAAATATAAAATAAAATAAATTTCACAATATCATATTAAGTCCTAAAAATACTTTATAAAATTCATAATTTTTGTTGAGTGATTATTGTAATTTTATAGAATAAAATATGTGAACATTCACACTTTTATGAATAAGAATAATATGAATGAATAAAATGTGAATATTTTTTTGAAAAGTGTGAATATTCACACTAGTTTTTATACTTTTTAAAAGCTAACGATATTTGATTTTATAATTATTAGAAGTATAAATATTCACATTTATAATTATCACATTTTTTAAAAAAATCACTAAAGAAAATTCACATTATTATCCAAGTATGGTGACTTTTTTTCCAAAAATTAAAATTAAGCTTTTCCACCTTTTGTCTTTCCCTCTACCTCTTTCAACACATCAAAAATGCAAACATGACCTGCTTGTTTGGTTTAATTTTTCAAAAATTATATTTAGATGAGTTTGATTATTTGTAGTGAATTTTTTATATATTTTAATTAATTATTTGTACTTTATAGATGCACCTAGTCAAAATGCATCTAAAAAGAGGCTAAACTATTTTTTAAAAATCACTAAAAATAGACAAAAAATTGAGGGGAAAAAAAATCTTTTATGCATTTTTGTTTTAATTTTTATTTGTTTTTAGTAAAAAAAAATTTCCCATAGTTTAGTTGAACTTTTTTTTACTTTTTAAATATATCTAAACTTCATATATCTATAAAATATAAAAATATAAAAAAAAATTAATAAAACAAACAAAAACTCGTTTAAAAATGATTAATGAGAATTGTAACCAAATAATTTGAAAACACAACCTAAGAAATTAATTAGTAAAAAAAAAATCCCATATTTTAGTTGAACTTTTTTTACTTTTTAAATATATCTAAACTTCAAAAATCTATGAAATAAAAAAATATTAAAATATAAAAAAAATTAATAAAGCAAACAAAAACTCATTTAAAAATGAATAATGAGAATTGTAACCAAATAATTTGAAAACACAACCTAAGAAATTAATTAGCTCAAGAGGGCAAAGGTCATATCTGCGTCTCCCTTTCGATGACTCCTACGAAGTCAACAGACATGTACAGGAGGTGTTTTAGAAATATGATTAAAAGTTAATTTTTTTTAATTTTTTTGATTTTTGTGTAAAAAATATAAGAGATAATGTGATTCAAAATAAGTTAAAAATTGATTTTTAACTTTTTATTTGCTTTCCAAATAGCCTCTGGATTTAGATGCCGAACAATGTTGTATAAATGTAAAAATTTCACAAATTAATCTTATTCACAAATGTGATAATATATATTAAAAAAATTAATATTAAATGATACTAAAATAATGTAATCTTGAGCAATCAATCACTTGTCAGGAAGAATAGTTGTAAAACACGTGCTCTAATAGGCCTACATATAAAACAATAATAATAATAATAATAATCATAAGAGGCCTGGGGTATGCCTATTTTGTGATACTAAAGGGTTGTTTGGGATGATTTAAATAAGTGTACTTTTTGACTTTTTATGAAATATGAGTTGGGTTTGGGTTGGGTTTGAAGTGATGTGTTAGAGAGGTGATGTGACTTAAATAAGATGATGTGACTTAAATAGAATAGTGACTTTTTGACTTTTTGTCTTTTTTCAAATATGCCAAACTTGGCCTAAGAATAGTTGTGATACAAAAATATTTTGTTTTATTTTGTTAGGCTCTCCATTGTTAGATTTATTGTATAACCTAAAATATACCCTTATAAATGTGTATATTTTTGGAAAATGCCCCGTAGCTCGACTTTTAGAGGCTCGAAACGGCTCAAAATGGAGAAAGAGGGAGAGAAAAGAGGAAACAGAGGAGAAAGAGGGAGAGAAGAGAGGAGGAAGGGAAGAAGCAGAGGAGAAGCAGAGCCTCGCCACTGCCACCGCCGATCGTCGCAGCAAACCGTCGCCTCGCCCAGCAATGGAAAGTGCTTTAAAATTAATGGGAAAGATTATGAGTGTGTACCATATGCATTTTATATCTAAAAAGAAAAATGACTTAATTCTATATTTTTTGAATCATAACTAAAAAAAATAAAATTATAACTAAACGCCACATAAGGCATAACAAAGATTTCATGAATCAAAACTAAAATACTATTATAACTAAAAATAAAATAAAAATCAATCGTAACTAAAAAACAAAATAATATAAATAAAAGTGTATATTACACTGCTTTTAAAGAGTATATTAGAATTTCCCCAAATTAATAGAAAGTGTATTTGATTAAATTTTTGTTCTTTTATAGCAAAACCAAAAGAGAAACATACTTTGGTAAACAACTCTTATAACTGTATCTTCACAACAAAACATCATTTAAATCATAACTAAAGACTACTTTCATCATAACCAATATATCCACCACAATAAATTATATTCATCTCCTAACCAGATATACCATAAAAGGTAATTGTAGACCTCAAAACATGGGATGTATTTTAGCCTTGAAAGACCTCAAACATTGAGGAAGAACTTGTATTCCAGCGCATAGATATAAAACCAGAACATTTTCACGAAGTTTGAGTTTGTACCAAGGTTCGAATCAAGGGATATGCAGGTAGCTACTTCTAATTATAAGTTTAAAAAAACAAATAAACAAAAAAGACAACCAAAGGAGCATTTGAATGTCGCAAGTAAATCAAATCATCAATGCATTTTGCTCATCACCTGTTTGTTTCATATGTGCATTTTTTGTCAGCACTTGATTTCTATATTTTTTGAATCATAACTAAAAAAAATAAAATTATAACTAAACGCCACATAAGGCATAACAAAGATTTCATGAATCAAAACTAAAATACTATTATAACTAAAAAAAAAAAAAAAATCAATCGTAACTAAAAAACAAAATAATATAAATAAAAGTGTATATTACACTGCTTTTAAAGAGTATATCAGAATTTCCCCAAATTAATAGAAAGTGTATTTGATTAAATTTTTGTTCTTTTATAGCAAAACCGAAAAGAGAAACATACTTTGGTAAACAACTCTTATAACTGTATCTTCACAACAAAACATCATTTAAATCATAACTAAAGACTACTTTGATCATAACCAATATATCCACCACAATAAATTATATCCATCTCCTAACCAGATATACCATAAAAGGTAATTGTAGACCTCAAAAAATGGAATGTATTTAGCCTTGAAAAACCTCAAATATTGAGGAATAACTTGTATTCTAGCGCATTGATAAAACCAGAACATTTTCACAAAGTTTGAGTTTGTACCAAGGTTCGAATCAAGGAATATGCAGGTAGCTACTTCTAATTATAAGTTTAAAAAAACAAATAAACAAAAAAAACAACCAAAGGAGCATTTGAATGTCGCAAGTAAATCAAATCATCAATGCATTTTGCTCATCACCTGTTTGTTTCATATGTGCATTTTTTGTCAGCACTTGATTGGAACTAGCAGTTTTGCAATTTCAGTAAATGTTGTATAATCATACCATGGATAACCTGCAAGTGATTACAATTAGAAAGACCGCCTATTTAAATCATATTCACTTCGCAGGGGCACCAAAACACCTGATCAGTTCAAAGAAATCACAGAATGTAATATGGCATCTGCTACTATTTCACATTAATAGACAATGACATTCAAGTAGACAAAACAGAAACTAAATTCAAACTCTAGAATATCTTAAATGAAAAAAAAACCAAATGTTAAGAAGGCAGCTACATAATAAGTCTAGAGATTTAAGCCCCATCTGGCTGGATGAAAGGATTCGCAATCTCATCAGTTCCATCAGTAGGTGATACAAGCATCACGGCAGTTCCCCTACACACCTGCAATAGAACCAACAACAAATATTTAACCAAGAATTCTTCGAAGTATTGCAACTTCTCTTCTCGACTTTCAGGATAGGAAAAGTATATACAACTTTTGGATGGCACTTCTAAGCATACTTCCCAAGATGTTTTATCCAATTTTATATACAAGAAGCGGTACTCCTTAAATAAAATCCACCTCACATGATGCACCACCAATTTCCATCAAACCTTTTGAATCAAAACATCAAAAAAATTATATAACAGCCAAAACTTCACTAATATAATTTTCAATTTTCTGAAAATTGAAAATTATGAGACAGTATTTTTATTCTTTAGTATTTCTGGCTAGGAAAAAAAAAAAAAAGAAAAAGAAAACAGAACAGAATTCTGGTGTTTCTCTGAAAACTGGTTCTTTTTTAACTCCTCTTTTTTTTTTCCTGAAAATAGTTCCTGAGAACAATGAACTTAACAAATTTTCAATTCTATTTTCTGTTTTACGTGACTCCTAGAACAGAAAACTGTTTTCAAAAACTCCAACAAATACAAAGCCCATAATAACTCTTTTTTCCCATTTAAGTGTTGAGAAAAGAGAATTTGCAGTATCAAAACCTAAAGACTCGTGCATAATTTGATGCTCTCCCAAAGATGCAGCAAAACTTGTTGCCTGCTTAATAAAAAAAATTTAAAAAAACAAAAAGAAGCAATGCAAAGCTTCATTTATGAAACCAAATTTCTTGTTGAACATACCAAGTTACTGAACCTTTATTAAAGGAGCCTACTACATATAAAAGTTGTTATATATGTCCCAGCTAAGGTATTTCATGGTTTCAGTTAGTCTAAATACTCCAGTTCTTTACCCAAATTAAAACTTAATCAAAACAAAAATGCAAGAATTTTCCAAATCAGATTTTTTTTAAAAATCCCATAAAGAGGATTTTCCACAAAAATTAAAAATCTTCGCAGTACATTAAAGATAAGAACTCCACTGCAAATTTTATGTTCAAATTTTAATGACTACAGAGAACATACGATTAAGCCAAGACGCCTGGTCTGATCAGTAGTCTTCAGTGGATCATCTGGATCTGCAGCAAAAGCACAAGTCGAAATCATTATTCCCTCACTCAAATCAGAAGCTAATGCTTTATTCAGAGTTGGTTTGACAAATATTTGTAGACTGAAGGAAAAAACATAGTACTGCTCAAACCTAATCCAAGACAAACAACTTCTTAAAATGATTATGGCATTTATCTGTAGTTATGAGGACTATCTCTAAGAGTGCACATGTTGCTGAGTGCACATTTTGGCAGCCATTACATAGCAAGAGAGATTCCAAGTACAACAATGAAAGCGAAGCCCTGAGCCCAAATTCAAAGCTTCAAATGCAAAGATGACTTCATAAATGGTCACCCCTTTAACGTAAAAGTTGTAGGCTTCCAACACTCAATTGGTGTGGGGGCGACAAACATTCACTACTCTGATTAAGCTCTCATGATTAGCCAACAGCTAAGTCAACATTTGACAATCACATGATTATGCATAAGCCACCATAAGTTACATAGAAGGTCCACCATAAACCATGGATGACAACTAAATTTGTCCAAAGCTCGCACTTGGACAGTAGAAAATATCAGTTTGTGTATGCAACTGAAGTGTTCAAGACATCATATAAATCAGTAAGAAGCAGTGTTGCCTTGACCAAGTTGCTAGCTGATCTCACACCAGCCTCAGGGTTACTTATAAAGCTCCATTGAATGAATCAACTTTTCCCTCTGAACAAGGGTCAATGGTTCAGGGAAAAGCCTATCTCAGAGATGTTCAAAAAGGGGAAAAACATCGTTCGAAAACTCGCATTAGCTCGCTTTGGAAAGTTGAAAGAATCACTTGCAACTAGAAACTCAGATGAACGTAGAAAACGAAAACGAGGTCTTTTGATAAATAAAGAACAGGACTCAGACACTGACCAAAAAAGAGTTCGCATGTCTGGAGCTTCTCAAGCAAAAATTAGACTAACACCAGTTCAATATCGATATACACATGGAAAATGAAAGAAAGATTAATAGCCTCACATCACAACTACCATTCTAACCCAAACTTCTTGTGAGCTTCCAAGTTCTTGTATTTCTTCTTAATGTTGCTTGGAAATCAAACAGATCATAAAGGAACATAAGGTTGCATTATTGACACACCACAAACAAATCATAATTGATCTCCAGAAACCATTACAGCTCAAAAGGGAATACAAAGACCAAGGAAGCACGGGTGCGGGTACGAGTATGGTACGAGTACAGGTACAGGTACGAGTGCAGGTATGCCGATTTGGCAAAACTCAAAAAAAATATGATACGGGTACGACTACGGTACGCAGATATATATATATATATATATTATATAATTATGGTTAAAGGATCCAACCTACAAATTAAAATTAAATATCAAAACTAAAAAGAGAACTATTCATTTTCCTATAATTTAAAACCATTAAGCGTTAAAAATAATATTTGTGAAATCTCTCACTTTGACATGTTATGCATTGTGAATTTGTTATCATAATTTATTTTTAGAATCTTTCTTTTTGCTCATCAATTTGCTATTTTTATAAGGTGAGACCAAAAAAATAACAGGAGACCAAAGAAAGATTTAAAGTTAATTGCCAACAGTAAAGGAAAAAAAAATTCTCAATTGAGGCAAGTTGTCAATTGCAATTTGCATAATACATAAAATTGCATCATTCCCAACCACTACTAATCAACTAATACCGTATCAATTTTTAATATTTTGTACATAAACTTTAAAAGTTTGTTATGATTAAAGATTTTATAAACAAATTCTAGGAGGATATGAAGCAAAAGCATAATGCATAGTCATATACAGAACTGCCCTTTATAGGCCTTGTTATTTTTTTTTTGTTCAAATTGCTTTTTAAAAACATCAAAGTCATTTGTTGATATGCTTATACAATTCATACAAATAAACAGGACAACAGAGAAACATCAAAATTGCTGATCTGCAAGGGCACCAAAAAAAAAAATTTGGCCCCAGCGTACCCACGCCGTACCTGAACGAACCAAACGTACCGGACCCCCTTTTGTCGTACCCGGTACGCGTACCCACGCCATACCCGAATGAACCAAATATACCAGACCCCCTTTTGCCGTACCCGGTACGCATGCAGCCGTACCGTTACGCGTACCCGATACTCGTACGGCACTATTTTTGGAATACCCGTGCTTCATAGACAAAGACTGACGAGAAGGAAAATGAACAGAACATAGTATCCAAAAGAAATGCATTTTCTGATCGACAAAGTAGGCGAAGCTGTGAAAGTATTTAAGGGTTAGGCCTCGTTTGGGAACCCCTCGTTTTTAGCCAAAAAGTCAAAAAGTTACTAAATTAGTCAAAAAGCCAACAACCTATACCAAAAAGTCAAAGATTCTCTTTTCTCTCTACTTTTTGCACATCTTTTCGTAAAAAAGCCAAAAAGTCATCCCAAACATACTAGTTTTTTTTAGCTCATATTTTAGCCAAATAGTCAAAAAGTTACTAAATTAGCATGTTCCCAAACGAGACCTTAGTACAATGAGATGGTTAGTAAAGTGGAATGTAGATCTAAAACAAAATTGATGTAGGATGAAGCCCAATTGATCTAGTACAGTGGAATGTAGCTCTACCATTTCATAAAATATTTTCCAATAAAGTAGGATTCCTAGATAACATCAATGCATAGATGCATGGAAAACGCATGTAAAATAGAAAAGTGCATATTATGATTTTTTGAGAAAGAGAAACTTCTAGTAATTTAGCAAATCCAAGTCTTGCTGAACAACTGCTTGTAATGCTCAATTATTTTCTTTACCATTTCTTCTACTAACAAGGAAAACTAAGTATTCTTTCCTTCTTTTAATCAAGGAAAAAATGAAATTGAAAAGAAAACGATGTTTAGCTAATCTTAGAAAATGCTTGTTTGTATATGAATACACACGTGCTCAAACAGACACACATTAAGAATACGCCATCAGTACCTCTTAGGAACTCTACGGCTTCATCCAAAACAAGGTTCAATAATTGATCATATCCTTTCAGGGTCCCTGTCACTGTACAGTAAAGGATATCTTATAAGTTGTCATCTTGAATAAAAATTACTCGTGTATTCAAGTTGAATAAAAAAAAATTGCAATTCTTTTCAACATAAACCCCACAAAATGAAGTATACAACAAGAAACCAAAATAAATGGTGTTTGAAGTTACCAAAATTGATAATAAAAAAACAGAAAGTAGGTGCAAGGAGGAATTCATTGATGGCTCAATAAGGGAGAAGATGTCTGTTTGATTGCAAATTCACATGGAGCGCATTTTAAACACTTCGTAATAAATTTCAGGGTTGAATTTGATCCTATTTTCAAGTCTTGTTGTATGTTTACTTTAATAACAAACAACCTTTAGTCATTTCCATCCAAATGAACGCTTATTCGTAAGACTTGCATAAGAAGTAAGGCAAAGAAAAGTTACAGTGAAGTAACTGAGAGGATAATGCAAAGTGAGAGGGGGGAAGTTAAATTGCAGTGAAGAACAATGCATACTAATCTCACGTATTGAGAAACATTAGTAGAATTTTTATACATTCAAGTCATAGATGACCTTGTTCGGTAGTGTGTGGGTCTAAGAAGCACGGACACGTGACACAACATGAACACGCAGACACATAAATTTTCAAAATATGTAGGATGCACCTAGGGACACGTGCTAAATATATAATTTTATATATTTATTATGTCATGTATAAAGATAAATAATTATACATATTTATTTATTTATTTTTATTTTTTTTTGATAAATCATAATTTTATATATTTATTATGTCATATATAAAGATAAATAATTGTTATATGTCATATTTATGGATATTAATTCAAAGACAATATAGGCCAAGTTTGGCAACACCAAAATAATCCATCTTTTTATCTTTTTTCCATCACATCACCTCTCTACTTTTCTGCACATCTTTTCGTAAAAAGACAAAAAGTGCACTTATTTAGGTCATCCCAAACAACCCCTAGTTTTTAAAGTTTAAAATACAAGAATAGGTATAAATTTACATTGTTTTTGTTTTATCATTAGATTGTAAGTTATTTTATTCAAATTTGTAATGTGTTTCGTGTGCATCTAAGTGTTGGGAAGTGTTCAACGAGTGTCGTGTCGTGTCATGCCGGTGTCCGACATGGTGTTGGATACGGCATATTACCTTCTTAGAAGTGTCTGTACTTCTTAGGTGTGGATCCTAATAAAAATTGGACACTAACTACTCGACTACAAAGCTAAGTAGATCACAATTAGTTGGTGTGGGAGGGCACTGCTCCATTGCTCAAAGGTGGTGACTATGAACCACGGATACTTCAAAAAGGGAGACATATATGTATCGTACCCATATCGGATACCAAAACTCCTTGGATACTCGCAGATACGTATCGAATACGTATTAAAAGTATCGAATACTTCTTAATTATTTTTTCATTAATTTTGGAGTATCGGATACTTAATTTCGAAGTATTTGATACTCCAAGTCACGTATTATTCCTAATACTTTGTTTAGTTCTTTGATAAGAAGAATATAATGAGAGTTAAAGCAATAGAATTTGACAAATTGAAGCATCCTTATTATTTCATGCATGTCCCCTACAACTACATAGAAAGTAAGGATTAACAAGAGAATCTAACAATAGTAAAATTAAATATCAATAAATAAATACAACATTTTTACAAGTGAGAGCGATGAACACAAGATTGATAAACTCACTAGCGCAAATTTTAGATTGTGGAAGACACAAATTGAAGATTATCTATACTAGAAGGAATTGTATCTGCCTCTCGAACGACAGAAACCAGATGGGTTCAAAGAGACAGAGTAGGCTCTCCTCAACAAACAAACATTGGGAGTTGTTCTGTTGATGTTGGCTTCTAACGTTGCATTAAACATAGCGAACAAGAAAAGCACAACAATTATCTTGGCAACTCTTGTGAACATGTATGGAAAGTCCTCTCCCTCAAATAAGATTTACCTAATGCACAGATTGTTCAATCTGAGAATAGAAGAAGGTAGTTCAATGGCTGAGCATCTGAACAAATTTAACACAAAGGTAACTCAATTGAGTTCTATAAAATTGAATTTGATGATGCGTTTAGGGCTTTGACTCTTCTATCCATTTCGCCAAAAAAGAAAGAATGGTATTGTAACAGCGGTGAGCAATTCTTTGGGTTAATCGAAATTGAATTATAATGATATTCGAGACTAAATTATGAGTTAAGAAATTCGCAGAAGAGAATTAGGAAAAATATCATGGTTTATTCTTTAATACAGATGCCAAAGGAAGATCAATCAAGAGTAACTTGAACCATAACATATCAAAACCCAAACACATGAGTTAGTAAGTCAAGAACAAGAACAAAAATTGCTAGAACTGTGAAAAGAAAAGGGATCTGAAGGGAAATTGTTTGACATCAAAGAACATTAGGGTAATCAAAGTAAAAAATTAGCGAATGCTACAACAAAGGAGATTCATGATGCTTTGGTTTTGAGTGTTGACAGTCCAATTGAATCTTGGATGTTGGATTTTGGGAATCCTTTCATTCTATTTCACACTAAGACATCATGAATAACTATCCGTGGTGATTTTTGGAAGTTTTATGTAGCTGGTGATGAACCGTTGAATTTTGTACGTAAAGAGGAAGTTAATCGGGTTGCCAAATGAGTTTGTTTGAAAAACACACAATGCTAGACATTTACCCGAGTTGAAGCAAAAATTTGATTTATGTAGGACACCTTGATGATGAAAGTCATGTAGTAATCTTCATGGATAGATTGTGGAAAATAACCAAACGAGTCATGGTTGTTGCTAGTAGTAATCATGACTATGAACAACAAAAATGCAATGGCAATTGCTGATGAAAGGAAAATTCAAATTTGTGACATCATAGGCTTGGGCATATAAGAAAAAGAGGGATAAAGGTACTTCTTTTGAAAGGGAAGTTGTCAGGTTTGAAAGAGGATTAAATTTTCAAAGGTTGGCAGGAAACAAAAGATATAAAAATTGAAATTGGTTCATAGTGATATATGGAGACTTGCACCAATTTCACCTCTTGAGGATACACGTTGGATTGCCCAAAAAATGTTTTGGGCAAATGCAGTCAACACTACAACATATCTAATAAATCACAATCCATTTGTTCTTCAAGATGGAGGATTACTAGAGGCATAGAGTGAGAAAGAGGTAAATTTTTCACTTAAAAGTCCTTGGTTGCCTCTCATATGTGCATATAGATTCTGTTGACACAAGCAAGCTTGATCTGGAAACTGTTAAATGTACTTTTGTAAGGTATGGCATTAATGAGTTCGGTTATTAGTTTTTGGGGAAGACAAAAATTGAAAAATAATTAATGAGAACATAATGTATAAGAAAAAGTTCGTTGCAAAATCTAATACTTGTCGTGAGCATGTTGAGTCAGAGAAAATTATAAAATTATGTGAATAGTAGGGTTCAAAATCATTCCAAAATACTCATAGGTTTGGTTTGGGACAGCCTTCTAGAATGTGTAGGACTACACATCATTATTCCCCTTCTAATTATTACTTGTTATTTGACAATGGTGGGTTAGAGAGTCAACTATGCAGAATTACATGGATTCACTCCCGACAAATTAGACATGAGAGCTGATAGAATTACCAAAGGACAAGAAAACTTTGCATAACAAATGGTCAAAAAGGAATATGATGGGAGTAAACAATACAAGTCTAGACTAGTTGTAAAAGAATTTTAGCAAAAGGAGGGCATAGACTACAATGAAATTTTTTTCAATTGTAAAGTTGACAACAATTACATTAGTGTTGGAAATAGTGGCCACTGAGGATTTGCACCTAGAGCAAATGGATGCAAATATAACTTTCCTCCATGATGATTTGGAAGAGAAAATTTATATAAAACAACCACAAGTTTTCCTAGCACGAGGCAAGGAAGAACTGGTATTAAAGCTTTAAAAGAGCTTGTATCGCTTGAAACAGGCCCGAGGCAATGGTAGAAGAAGTTTGATGGATTCATGCGCAAGCAATGGTTTCACAAGACGCTAGGCAGATCATTCTTGTTATATAAGAGGCTTAACAATAACTACATTATTTTCCTTTTGTAGGTGGATGATGTGGTTATTGTAGGTTCTATCTAGCATTCAAAAGATAAATAAGCCAAAGAAGCTATTGTTCAATCAATTTGCAATCAGGATCTTGAAGCTGCTAATCAGATTCTTTGTATAAGGACTCACAGGGACAATGAAAGCTATTTTGAAGTTCTCACAAGTTAAGTACGTCAAGAAGGTTCTCAACAGGTTCAGCACGTGCAGCGCAAAACCAGTGAGCAACCTGTTGGCTAGTCACTTTAGACTTACCAAGGACCAGCCACCGAAGACCAAACAATGGTTTGTATTGGGTCAAACATAACACACGCAATCAAAGTTATGAAGCACAGATACTTCAAAAAGGGAGACGTATCGGATACTTAACGGATACCAATACTCCTTGGATACTAGCGAATACATATCAGATACTTATTTTGAAGTATCGGATACTGAAAGTCACATATTACTTCTAATACTTTGTTTAGTTATCTGATAAGAGGAGTATAGTGAGAGTTTAAGTAATAGAATTTGTCAAATTGATGTACCCGTATTGTCTCTCTCACTTCTCTCTCGCTCACTCTGTCACTCTCTCATGTTTCTTCTCTTCGCTTTCGTTCTTTTTTTGGTGTTGCCATGTAAAGATAATGTTTAATTTTGCTTTTAATTTTGGACGTTTTATGAATGTTTGAACACTCTTAGCTTAATAGGAATCCCCCTATTTATTAATTTACTTTAGGTTTTAATTTCATGCATATTACATTATTAAAATTATAAAAAATAATTTTTTTTACAAACGTATCCCGCCGTACCCATATCCTACATTTTCAGATTTTGTTGTATCGCCCTATCCGTATCCCTGCTTCCTAGAATCAAAGTCCTGAGCACAGGTACATGCATAATCTAAGCAAACTATATTGGAAGGCAGTAAAATGGATCCCATTTAAGCGTAAAGAGGTAGCACTTTTTTTCAAACGAACCTATATAGCATTCATGGTTATGCTGACGTAGACTTAATTGGTGATGTGGATAACATGAGTACTACTTGTTATGTTTATACATTGAGCCGTACAACAGTGAGCTAGGTTTCCCAAATGCTAAAGATTGTGACTCTCTCTACTACAGAAGCTGAGTATGTTGCTATTACTGAAGCTAGTAAGGAGATGACTTGGTTATAGAGTTTTCTAGAAGAATTGGGTAAGAAGCAGGAGAGCAGTGTTCTATAAAACAATAATTAGAGTGTTATTCATCTTGTGAAGAATCCGACGTTTCATTTTACAATAAAACACTCAATTGTAGTATCATTTAATTTTTCATTTGTCAATGATGGAATATTGTCTCTCAAGAAGATTTGTGGTACTAAGAATCCAATAGATATGTTATCCAAGATAATCACCATTAAGAAACTAAAATTATGCACAACTTCAATTGATATTCATTTTTTAGGATAAAAGATTGAATCATTGTAGTGTTTTTTCTTTGCGATAGAGATGTTGGAATTTGGAGCCTAGTAGTAGTAGGTGTTAACAATCTCCAAGTGGGAGACTGTTGTAGACTCAACCATGGATCTATCTAGTTAGGTGTTACATACTAATCTCATGTATTGAGAAACATTAGTAGAATTTTTATGTACTTAAATCACAGACGACTAATGAACACAATAAATTACTACACTTACTTTGCATAAATGGACATACCTAGATTTTCTATGGCTCCTCCATAGCTGCTCGCGTTAAATTTCTCTACACATTTGCTTATAACAGCTATACAAAGTCACAGCTAGATGGCAGAGAGCAAAGCATATAGATGTTGAAAAGAGAGGAAGAAGGGTGCCACCCAACAACATATCCAAAATGTTGGGGTCAAGCTTGATAACCTAAATTGAGCTTTGTAACACAATCCCCAATTTGTAAGTTAAATTTAAACCATACCACCAAAAGAAGATATAGTTGGTAAACCCTAGGCTCGTTGATGAAAGTAGTGCTTTTAGAGCAAGGATGTTTACTAAGCCCAAGCCTTCGTGCTTTGATTATGTAGGCCCATTTTAGACCTCCATAATTACATTTAAAGTCGTATCAAATCAATTTATGCTTCACTCAAGTTTATTTGTTGCTAGATCAATATTCTATATATTTTATTATTTTGAGCATGGATCATAGAGGTCACCTATGGCTCATAATTTGAGTCATTATATGTGGTTTTTAAATGGTTTGCATGCATTTTTATATAACAAAATTCATAAATTTCAAGTTTAGGAGTCCTGGGCAGAATAGGTGATTACCTAGTTGCTTCTATATACCAAATAACCAGCGTAACCTTTCAAATGCAATTGAGACTAGCTTAGGGAACTTTTCATAGCCTTTGAAGCTTCTTAGAATTGCGTGATGCAATGCAACTTGAACACTTGGTATGATGCCTAGGAGTTTTACATGTGATTCCAATACTATATTCTTCCCCTTCTCTCTGTCTCTCTCTCCATTTTTGTATTGCCTCGCAATAACCTGCAATCAGAAGAACTATATTCTTAGCCTTGGTGAAGTCCACATTAATGAGCCCAATGATCTCCACCATCAAAGAACTAACCCAAGCCAGCTAAATTTTAAAAAGGAAAAAAATACTATTCAGAGTATTGTTTGCAGGCCAAAAGTCAGTCCCAAAATTGTGTCTTTTTAGAGTTTCCATGACTAGTTAAACCCTCAAACCACCCCTAGGCTATGCCTTTTAACAACCTAAAAATCCATATCTGCTGGCACTTTGATCAATTGAAAATCAACCACAATAAGTTACATAGAAGCCCTCTCACCCTGCCCCTGCATCAATTTTGGCAACAGAGTTTGCAAGAATGTGTGCTTTCCACTCATCCTACATTGCACCTAGATACAATTTCTTACTGCTTCCCAGTTTTCTGCATTTTTTCCTCCTAGTAGTTTCCCACATTTATTCCAGAGCAGTGCTTATTGCAGCCCTTTCCTCTGTCATATCCAACCCCACTTCCCAAATTCAAAAATTAAATTACACTGTGAAAAGCATGTTCAAGTTATGGCTTCAAGACAATGACAACCAATGCAGAGGATGTAATGAAGGATCATCTAATTTTCAGCACCAAATACGGTTTACATTAATGTTTAGCTGGGAAAAGTGACTAGATGATTAGGACAGATTAGGCAAGGGTATTGGGGTTTGATTTATTGTTAATAGGGACTCAACAGTGAGTTTAATAAGAGGTTAAAGACAAATCTAACAAGAAGTTCGGCTACTGCAGAAAAAACCTCTAAGGAGAGTGAGAGAATAGAAGAGAAGATGGGCAAGGAAAGATACTTGACCTATTCTCTGGGTTCACTCAAACCCTAAATCTGACCCAACTAAATACCTAAGCCCACTAACCCAAAACAAATCACCTGGCAGCTCACTTACATTCCAAAGTAAAAATAAAAAACTGCCCCTGATGTAAAAAATAAACAAAGAAAGAATAACATAAAAACAACTACAGAAAAATAAAACACTTAACATCCTAAGCAAGATCAACACCACCTTTAAGGACTGGGCATAAATTCAAATTTTTCAAATGCCATGCTTTTGTCTCACCCTAACTATAGCCTTATAAGAAATCTTTCCTTTATCACATAGAATAATACCAATACTTAAATGATCCCCATATTGAACAACATGGCCAAAAATGTAACCTGAAACCAGAAAAGCCTGATATGTGGAAACTTTCCCTTCTAAGGAGATGTCATCACAGACTATGGAGAATAGAAAAAAGAACATGTGAAGGTCAAAAATATTGGCAAGCAGAATTCTCCCTTCTACGGAAATGTTATCCTAGTTCACAGACCACCAAATACAAAAAAAGGATATCTGAAGAAAAACTAGGATAAACAAAAACAAATTTTGTATTGTCAATATGCGCATTGCTAACACCAAAGTTTATAGAGGTTCACAGTATAAGAATGCATAAGATACTACCCTACAATCTACCTTCTCTTCATTTTTATTTTTTTTCTCAGACATATAAGTTGTATCACAAAGTTAATAATAAGTTTCTATCAAAACATCATAATATTATTAACACAAATAACAACAATAACAGTAAAAATGACATGCAGACTAGCATTAACCTTGTCTTCCACCAGTAAGCTTGACTTGGACACCCTTGTCAACAAACTTTGCCAAATCCAAGACTGTCTCTTTCCTGCCCGACTGAAATAAGGATAAATTAAAAACATGTAAACTAAAACCAACGATATACTTAGACAGTGAAATAAACTAAAGGCATGATTTAGCAACATTTAGGGTCTTTTGGTTCTCGTTTACTGCTTCTGTTTAAATTTCAGAAGAGATGGTATTCTGTTAATCTCTAAAATCACATTACACATGCCTACAAAAAAATCTATCTAGAAAATAAAGCACAAAAAAGGATAATACAAATTCACTGGGGTTCCACAACCAAATGTTTGCAATTAGAGCAGCAACAGGAACAACTCTAGTGGAGGTCATAAGGTTGTTCTTGTTTCTCATCATTTTTTGAGGCAGTCTGGTGCAGTGGTAGAACATGATGTAGAACTCAATGTTTTAAAAGGCACTAGGCGCACCAAGGGGATAAGGTCTCCTATAGCCTAAGGGTGAGGCGCAAGGCACAAGGCGAGGCGCGTGCCTCACCAAAGCGAAGCGCAAGTAGTAGAAGAAAAGCAAAATTATAAAATAGGCTAACTTTTCAACATAACAAATATATATAGAATTTCAAAAATCATAACCATTTCCGATAATCTTTAAACATGACATTCAATCTTCTAAAAACTAGAAATATAATATCCAACAAAAGATATAAAACATAACAATCTTTTATCACTTTCTGCTCTCTTTTGACCATGTTTGGTTGAAGAGTTTTGAATCCCTATAGGTATGTCCACAAAAAAAGCACTTAATCAACAGTTCAAGTAGAAATATAGATAAAGCCCATGAAACCCACGCCTAGCGCCTCGGAAAAAGCCCTCGTCTCAGCGCCACCTCGCCTCAACCTGTTCGAAGCGCAAGGCTGCGCCTTAAGCCTCCCAAGCGTGCCTTTTAAACCACTAGAACTAGTAAGTACAGATGTATAATGTTTTTTTTTTTTAACAAAACAAATGTGGAATGATTGGGCTGTATAATTTCAACGATTCTATTGGCAGTGGTCATCATGTTTTAGATGTTGCCGTGTGATATGCCCATTAAAACAAAATATGGGACACAGTACTCATGTGGCTATATTTACCGTATTTAAAAGAGTCAATCTTCCTTTCTTTTATCATAATTACTTGTTAATGAACTTTTTGTTCACACCAAATGCGTTATATAATGTAAAATTGCATTCTTACAAATTGAAATTTCAAACATTTATACACCCACACGTCAGGAAAATATATATATATATAGAGAGAGAGAGAGAGAGGGGTACCATTCTACCGAGTGATCAGGGTACTCTTTCAATCTTTTAAGAGAAATGATCTCACAAATACAACCAATCTTGAAATTGTGAAGTTGCAGAGCCCAAACTCAAGCCTGCAAGTATCAAATTGCAGCCTCAAAATGCCTGAAAATTGAGAATTGAAAACGCAACCAACAAAGGACAATACATATTTCTAAAACTCTCGTAATGGGTTTTATCAAAAATCACCAAAACCCTAGAATAATACATAAGACTTACAAGTACACTGCATACATAAAAACAAATGAATGAATTGAAAAACTGAAATACTAATTGCTGGCTTCATAATGATCTCACGCAAAGAAACCTAATACCCAAAACTAGCTGATGAATGAACAGCAATTAAGAATAGTGAGGGAGATAAGCATGAGTGAACAGATTTGAGAGTGTGTGGATGGAAACCTACAGTTTGGTGGAATGGCGAAACAAATAGAGAAGCGTGCCCTAGCCCCCTCCTGGATTATCTCTCTCTTCTTTCCCGCTTCGCTTTGCACAAAATGAGTCAAAGGCGCACTCAGACTCCACAGTCAAGACCAACGTATGTCACGCAAGGTTTTCAAGGACGGGTGAGTAAACCGGGAAACCATCGGTGCACAGGTTACCGGTTCACCAATCGGGTTAAAATCGGATCGTGATGTTATAATGTTGTAATATGTCATAGTTTTTTTAAATTATAAATTTATTTCTATTGCCTATTATAAAAGTGTAAAGAATTATCATATTTTTTACTTTTTATGTATTCTATAAATATCTTTCTAAATTTATTAAACATCATTAAAATCACAAATAATTACAGACATTGTATGGGGAGCAAATATTCCGCCTAGCCCGTACTCTTTTCTACCAAGCTCCTTGTTCGTCCGATCGACTTGTGAACACAATGGCGGTGAGCTACCCGGCGGTATGTGGCCGGAAAACTCCTTTCGACGGTCAAGTTAGCACACACTCAGAGATAGAGAGAGAGGAGAGACTTGAATGTATAGATTTATCTCACCAAATTATGTTTCATCCTCAGCATGGGGGGCGCAGACACGCTTATATACTTTTTGCGCCCAAATCTGCTCCCATTAGTCTCTTGACACGTGGTGCTGCTCTCTCATCTGTTAGCACAAATCCTGCAATCACCACCTAACCAAACCGTCAGGCTATATTAGCGGAACCCGGCAGACCGGCGGAACCACCTCGGCCTTTCACGATCGCGCTGCGCAGCGTACCCGAGTGCTCCACTCGCCGAACTCCAGAACGACCGAACTCGGTTGCATTCCGACAAAGTCGAGTTCAAGATAGGTCGAGCCAGCAAACCGAAGGCCTTCCTGCCGCGCTAAACGTGTGAACCATGGAATCCAGCATGGCAAGCAATCATCTCGACCAAGCAACTCAAGTAGCTCGGTTCTCTACATAGACAAGCCCAAGTAGCTCGGTCCCAATATGGTCCTGGGCCTCAATCGAGCAAAACCTTATCAGGACAAGCCCAAGCTATCCCGGGTCAAACATGTTCGGCCCCTCATTTTGCCCGGCCTTTACCATGGCCCATTCCAACTCATAAATCTCCCTCTCAATTGCCCCTAAATTCCGTCCGCGCAAGCGTGACTGGGATTACATGGTCCGTCCAGGGTAGACTCTCCCTCGGTCCCTAGTTTGCAAGATGTTAACTGCGCTAATCTCCATGCCCGATTTTTGGGCTTGCTCGGTCGTCGCCTCAACCTGCCATCTTGTCTCTTCAGAACTGACACCGCCGCCATTATAAACACGCGTCGTGCATTTATTGGCCTCGGACAGCCAACCCAGACGTCCCTTCATATTTAAATTTAGGCGCCCTTTCACTCTTATAAGTACGTCATTTCCCCTTCACTTTCTCTTCTTACTGCCTCTCTTCCGTTCTTGACGTCTTTGAGCTACAGTGCTTGACCTCCATTCTTGTTCTTCTTCTTTGTTCGTGCTTGAAGAAGTAGCCTCTGCCTCCCAACTGGTAAGTTCTTCGAATCCTCTTTGTTGTTTTTTTTTTTTATTTGGTATTTCACATTCTAGGGCATAAAGTCCATAGGTTTTTAGGATATACCCTTCCCAAAAACCCTCTCCTGCCCCTGTTCTTTTTGCTATTCTTCAATTCCAGTGATGAACACAAGAAGATCTGGAGCGGACGGGGCTCCAGGTTTTCTTTTGATCCCAAAAAATATCTAAACTGAGCAAATTGCAAGTTTGCAAAAACCCCTATAGAAACCAAGGTAGGCAGAGGACTTGACCGCTCGACCGGGCTAACATCTGGTCCCTCGAGTGGCCGAACTCCTAGGTTTACCTTCGTGACCGAGGTGGTTTGGCACTCTACTTGACCGAGTTAAAGTCAAGCTCATTTTACACAATCGTGCTCCCGCTTACACTTACCCTCCTTTTCCTGCAGAGTCCAAAGGGACCACACACCAACACCAAGGCTCTCAAAGACCGAGCAGCCACCAAACCAGAGTTTGTGCCAAATCACCTCAGCCGCGCTAAAACCAACTGGCCACACATGGGGCGCTACCGCTTCCTGGTCGACACGCCGGTCGCTTTAGTCGCGTTCTGGGAAGAATATGGTATCCCGGACGACGTTCACCTAGAGCTCGGCGCCGAGAACACGACCCCGTGGGGCAGATTAGACCAGTGCCCCTTCACCGTGCTTTCCATCATAGAAGGTGGCCTCCGCTTCCCGGTTAACCTGTTGATCTGCGAATTCTTGCGGCGCACCGGGCTAGCTCCAATCCAAGTCTCAACCAACACCTACCGCATAATAAACGAAATCGCCGAGCTAAACAACCGGCTAGGCACCAACTTAGGAATGGCTGAGATACTTCGCCAGTATACCCTCGGGCACACAGGTGATGGTTTCGCCTATTACTTAAAGATCAGACCGGGCAAGGAGAAAATAGTGACCAGTATCCCAGACAAGGACTTACATGACGATGACTTTTTCTGGGTGTCCAGTAATTACGAAACGGCCGACGTGCCGGGTTGGTATATAAGCAAAAACTTTAGTGAAACATATAAGTCGTGCTAACTGTTCGGTCAAATTTTTTCCTTTCTAAAATTCGTACTCAATGTCTTTTATTCTTTTGCAGCAATTGAAGCTTTGCAAGCCAATTACCATTATCCCAACGAAGCAACCATTAGAACCGTGTTTCACTACCGCAACCGGGATTGCCATGAACTCCTCGGTTACGTGTCAACCTACAGGTACTCAGCTCCACGCCGGAGTAAGGTTACGGACTTCCTCCGTGCACCATCTCCCCCTCCCGATCCCACATTGCCGGACATGCCACTTATCCGGTTGACCGAGGCAGAAAAGATGGCCAAAAGAAGCCACATTAAGAACCTCCTCACTACTACCTCCACCGAGCTACCGATCATCCCACCCCACACAGCCACTGCCGGTCAATCGAGCGGGACCGTAGTTGTACTGGCATCTCCTGCCGCCGGGCAAGCAAGCAAAGAAAGCCACCGGGCTGGGAAAAGGCCACGTACCGACCCCTCTGCTGAGTTAGTTGCGAAGTTGAACACTGAGTAACCAGCGGTGACAACTGACCCAACATCGCCATGGAAGCCGCAACTCAAGCATCGGGGTAAGGAGATTACGGTGACTGCCTCGGTCAAAGGTGACAAGGAGCATCTACTCGCCTTTGACCTCACCATAGCCTTGCTGCTACCGAGCGATGTGGTCGGCAGCGACCACGTACCGGACACTCGGCTGGTGAAGTCCTCGGTCAAGTCCATGACCCGGGTAAGAACTTTGCGTACTTTGTTCAAATTTTTCCAAGTGTTTGCTCGGTTTCCTTCCTCTGATAAAGTTTTCTTCTTATAGGCCATCTAGAAACAACACTTGGTGATGGAGAGGATCCACCGACTCCGGCAAAAGGCAACCGATGCTGCCAGCCAGGTTGAACACCTTCAAGCTGAGCTCGGACGCTCCAAGGCTTCGTTGGAGATAGCAAATTCTGAAAACTCCAGGTTGCTCGGCCAGCTTGGTGTCATCAAGCAAGAAAGGGACGCTCTCTGGACCGAGCTGGGGGCGTTGAAGCAGTCAAGGAAGGAGAAGCTAGAGGACGCCAACAACACCGATTTCAAGGAGGTCGAGGAGAGCTACACAAAGCAAGTCCATGCCACTCAAGACATCTTCTTCAAGGCGGACTGGAAGGCTGCTTGTGAATAGCTCAGCCAAGGATCTGGGACCGACATGTTTGCCTCTCCCCCAGCTGCCTTCCTGCCGACGTACCTTGTGCCATATGCCAACGACGGCTTCAACTCCAGGTTGCTCGGCCAGCTTGGTGTCATCAAGCAAGAAAGGGACGCTCTCTGGACCGAGCTGGGGGCGTTGAAGCAGTCAAGGAAGGAGAAGCTAGAGGACGCCAACAACACCGATTTCAAGGAGGTCGAGGAGAGCTACACAAAGCAAGTCCATGCCACTCAAGACATCTTCTTCAAGGCGGACTGGAAGGCTGCTTGTGAACAGCTCAGCCAAGGATCTGGGACCGACATGTTTGCCTCTCCCCCAGCTGCCTTCCTGCCGACGTACCTTGTGCCACATGCCAACGACGGCTTCAGCGCATTGCAGGCTGAAGCCGAGGAAGAAGAAGCGGAGGACGCCGAGGAAAATACCGCGGGTAACAACCGCCTAAAGCAGGCCGACCAGGAGCAAACTGATGTCCAGGAGACCAAAACTATGATCGACCTGGAGGTGACCGCGACCAGGGATGAATTCACAGACCTTTCCCCCTTAGTTTAGTTTTCTTTCTTTTTCGTTTCAAAATGTAACCGGGATACTGCCCCACCTTTTGTAATGCTATTACTTATTAATGAAAAGTTGTATTTTCGTCAAGTGTTTGCATTGTATTTAAGCTAAACAACTTTAGCTGGGCAAATCACCTCGGCTAAGCAAATCATTAACTCGCCCTTGAACAAATTATCAACCTATTCAACCGGAGTAAAACATCTCGGTTGAAATCACATAGTTGACTAAATCATCAACATGCTTAACCGGAAAAAGACATCTCGATTTTGATCACAGAGTTGAGTAAATCATCAACTCATTCAACCGGAGTAAAACATCTCGGTTGAACTCTCAAAATTGAGTAAATTATCGACTTGTAAAACCGGAACAAGACATCTCGGTTTGAATCACAAAGTTGAGTAAATTATCAACTTGTATAACTGGAACAAGACATCTCGGTTTGAATCACAAAGTTGAGTAAATCATCAACTAATTCAACCAGAATAAAATATCTCGGTTGAAATCTCAAGTTGAGTGAATCATCAACTTGTTTAACCGAAATAAGACATCTCGATTTTAATATCAAAGTTGAGCAAGTCATCAACTGAATCGACCGGAGTAAAACATCTCGATAGGAGTCGAAAGGTTGAGTAAATCATCAACTCAACCAACCGGAGTAAAGCATCTCAGTTTTAATCACAAAATAAGCATCGAAAACAACATAATGCATCAACAAAGGTAAGTCACTTCTATTATATTTGACAAAAGAGTATTACATTCTGAAATGCAAGGCAAACAAGTCTTTGCTCAAAAGAATAATCATAAAAACT